ATGCAACAAATTTGCTAATGGAATTTCGTCAGACTGTGAGCACCCACACTACCCGCTGCTCCAACCTTATATCTCCTCAGGTAAAACAAGAAGTCTTTTCAGAAGACTTTATGCACGTACGTCTAAGTATAAAAATTCCACTATACCATATTTGGCACGTACTTTATGTGATGAAAAAAGTGTTAGGCATGAACTAACTAACCTTCTTAGTACTAGTAAATAAACCATTTTCTCCACCCTTACAACATTAACCTTTATTGTTATTGTACTTCTTATATTTATAATCTCAATTTTTTTTGTTTTTATTTGTTTATTTTTTCATAAGTGTGAACATCATTTAAGCTGTGTTATGAATGTTAATTTTACCTTTCCCCTCAATGTACTACATCGTTGGAACATTAGATTTAACTAATCTATAAAATGCTATAATTTCAAACTGAATCAACAATAATGTTTGAAACGAACTCACTGTTATTATTATTATTGTCTTTTTGTACTTCGAATGTTTTTGACTTTATACCGTAAATATGGACAAATTCTCCTGGTTAATTTTGTTTTAATTTTATTTTTATATTTTGAGTAAATCAGATGCAATATTGTGAAAATGCTGAGAATTCCAGTCTGTATTATAATTACTGTTTCTGGAATAAAATAGATTATTATTATTATTTATAGTGGAACTTGTAGCGACTGCTTAAAATGAGAGAAATGTTTATACTTAGTTAAAAACAAAAACTCTATGTGCAATCTCCAACTTCCTAAAATTTAATTTGACAGCATGGTGACTTCATAAATTGAAGAAACTGGTGGATACATACTGTTTGATCAATACATTACTATCATTATTATTATTCCCTTGGGTTCTGAATGAAACAAAGGCCTTTATGGACACATCTTTAGTTCACCCTGTTCCCTGCAGTCGCTTTCAGTTGGCTCCACGATTACCTGTAGGCTTTCATTTCCCTATCATCTTCGGACATCCAAGTCATTTCGCATTAGGGTCCCACTCGAGGACCAGCCTGACGTGCAGTGTCACTCGATGGTCTCCTCAGCGTGTAACCAATCCGTCTGCATTGCCATTTGTACATCTGATGGGCTATAGTTTCTTGGTCAGTTCATCGTCAGAATTCCTTTTTATTTGTCTTATCTGGTCATTTAATCTTCACTATGCACCGAAGACAGCTGTTGGCGAAACCGTGTTATAGCCTGTTGGAATTAGTATTCGTGATGCACCTGCCAAGTCTCTAAACCACATAGAAGAACTGTCTTGACATTAGTGTTGAGAGTCTGAATCTTATTCCTTATGCTTAGTGCAGTAGATTTCCACACTGATTTCAGACTGATGAAGATCTGTCCTACGTTTCTGATCCTGCCTTTGACAACCTCATCTATACTGTCAGTAGTGGAAAGAATGCTGCCCAAATAAATGAAGGAAATGACCGCCTTTAAATTTCTGCTGTTGTTAGTGTTATAACGAAGTGTTAGTAATTTGGGTGGTTGTCGTCTAATTTGACCAAAATTTGCCTCCAGACAAGACACGACAGCCAACTGATCACTTGAAAAGTATTCCTCCACACTGAGATAAACACAAAGTCAGATCTTACTGAGACATATGTGACAACACCAACCTTTATCATACAAAATACAGGGTATATATATATGTAAATTACACATTTACGGACATTTAAACCATAGATCAATAATCAATATGTGACTGGTTGCATGATCTTGAAGATTCTCCAAAAATAAATCAACCGAAGACTGTCCAATAACGTCTTCATGCTAGAGCTTGCATCAATCATGACTTTACGGCTGCCTAAGATAGGTTGCCCCCCATCAGACAGTTATTGGCGCTTCTTGTTGTTGTTGCTGATCGGGTATCTTGACCACTCCTGTCTCCTATCTGTTCACTTGAAGTCCTGTCTTCCCTGCTTTTAAAAAAAAATGTTTGCCCATAGATCTTCAAGTTTCTGTGACATTAGAGATACATCATCCGCGAAATCCAAATCTTCCAGTGTATGATTGTCGGTCCAACGTATATTCTAGTATATACTACCTACTAATGAAAGTTTCTTTTAGTTATATAAGATTGAAATAATTACATATGATATTACTTGTCTATTGATGACTAAGAGTAAACGCTAACACGCTTGTTCCACCCTATTTTCAATTCTTCAAATATTCATGTAATGAGTGTTGATAACTGAAGGTGAAATGAAAATCTCAGTCATCACAGGACTCAAACCATCTGCCTTCGAACTACTAGTTTGAAACATTCTAACAGATGAGTTATTAGAGCCAACTGCTAACCAGGTTATTAACCAACTGTAGTAACCATAGGTAATACTCAACTGTTACCTCAGTAGTTCAATCATTCAGCACTCACTAGGCACACAGGAGGTCCATGTTTGATTCTTCAAGGATATACTCCAAAATCTCGCTTAGAAGCTTTGGTTAATTGATCTAGGCGCTTGACTTCCAGCTAGTGAGTTACGGGTTCGAATACCGCTCCACCTACCAACGTTTAAGCAGTCAGGTAGTATCACCAAGCCTGACTGCATGGAAATGAAAACGCTTGTTGAGTAACATTTCCTGTTACGTGGATAAATGATATATTATGGCTATTTCAGATAGTCTTACTATATACCTTCAAGTATGATGATGTCGCTCATAAGCTTCAGTAATCAACTTCCAGTCAATGGGTCCTGGGCTCGCATCTCACTCCGCCTACTACAGTCTGGGTAACTGCATAGTATCACCAGCCTTCACATAATATAACAAGTGTGAATTATATAGTCTGGTATAGGGTAAGTGAATTCTAACTAACTAATTAACTAATTACACCTTCAAGTATTCATCAATAACAGTGCGTCAGTGGCACAGCGGTTAGGACTCTCCCCGATCACCTGCCGACGCACACCCGATATCAATGGTCGGCCTACAAAATTTGGGCTGCCGATATCACATGCTGAAATTCGCATAGTTGTACCTAAAATACGGTGTGGAGTCAAGCTATGATCAAAATAAAAAAAATAAATATTATAATAGTTGACAGAGTATATACATGTCTACTATACTTTGTATTTTCTATTTCTTTATATAGTTAAAAGTGGTAACAATAACAATTCTCAAAATACAAAACAAAATCTTTTAAGCAATGTAAAAGTACAAGTAAGTTCTAAGTTTGAAATAAATATTTTTCACTATTATGGTATTTTTATCACATATCATAGTTTTTAAAACTCAAACTGTATAATTTGTTGTAAATATCAAATCTGATTTTATGTAATAATAACTCTATGAAGTAGCTAGTTGAAATTCGTATGTATTGAAACTCTTCAGCATGACAAAGTCGCTATTCAGTACATAAGTCTGTTTATGAAGATAATAATCATAATAACATGTTTATTCTGAACAGTATATATTAAATGTAGGGAATTTTCAGAGGACTTTATTATACGATATTTTCCCTTCGTACAGTAAAATCTTAATTGAAAGTATATTCTTCCTGTGACACACAGTGGTCTTTGAGCTGAAGCACAAACTACTCCATTCTGATATATCTGCTTCGTCTCTTTGCTTCACGAAATCCACGATATCTAGTTGAAAACTAATTGTAAGATTTTTGGAAGTACATTTTGAAACCAAGTTGCATAGCTGAAGTACGGTTATGTCATTTTATGGAATGCGTTGCCATCCACAATCAGGCCAATCCTTAAGTTTAGTAGGAGCTTGCGAATCAGGACCTCGTAAACATTTTAAATACACACAACAGTAGATAGTATCATTAGAGGTCATATCTTAATCAATTAAAACAAACTGAAAGAAAGAAAATATATGCAATAGAGAGATGGAAGTTTTTGGTAGCCCAAATTGTAAGTAGGCTGCCAATAGGGTAATTACTTCTTCTAGCCATCAAGTTACCATTCTATCAGTGCATCGCAATCGAGTGACTCATATTTCCCAGCTTCTACGAACTCACTATATTATTTTTCTTATTCCTTTACGTTCCCAGTAGAACATAGGGTTTCACGCTACAGACTTGAAGTTTCGGTAGCAGCGTTATTTAATTTTACGGGATGGGGTAGCTAGCCTCATGTTCAACCTTCCCTCTTTACCAGCCTTATTACTGGCTTGGCGAGATGAAGAGGTGTGTCGGCCGAGGGTCGAACTCCGAACCACCTGCGTGGTTGGGGAGCATTCTACCGCCATGCCACCGGCGCACTATATAACAGGTTCATAATCAAATTTCAACAACAAGGAACTGTTTTCTCAACCGACCCAATAAATGCCTGTAGATTCTTGTTAAAACTTTCGGATAAGATTACAAGTGTAGAGTGTAGTGAAGTCAAAAAGTAAGACAAAACATCTATCAGCCAGTAGTTTTTATCCTTTTTTTAAATGATATATTATGAACACCAAGAGGCACACCACGCAAAAGCTCATAGTTGGGACAGAATCTGGTGGTTGTCTTAGAACGTCACCCCTCCTTGTGCCAATCGCTTGAATTCTGATCCACAGGGTAGTGGACCAGCGTCAGCAACCATATTCACGTGGTTTCCAGTGACCAAGATAGGTACATACACCACTCAATGCTTTCAGATTTTGAGGGTTCATATACATCATAGGTTTGGAATAAGAAGTTTTCCAGCTTTCCTAAGTAAACAATTATTAGGTAAAACTTTATGACATAGTTAATTCATAGGAGACTTTAAGTAATTGACCAGTTTATGTTATCTTATACGATCGTTTTCATGAATTTAACTGCCTACTTATTACCAACTGATCAGATGAATATAAATTAAAAATATTCTGTTTTGAATAAGATATAAAAGTCTTATATTCGCTGGCAAAAGTGTACACACTTAGGGAACTCATCAGTTTAGTTTCCTGTGAATCGAAAAATGAATTATTTTCTCCAAAGCGGTTTTTAAAAAAAACTTTTAACAATAAGTTGGGAGTTGTGTTGTATCATGATCTCTTATTTTCTCTCATATTAGATGGATGGTAAGGTATTCTTGATGAGATGAGACAGAAATAAGACGCCAAACCATAAAGTATTTTACTATGAGTTTGAGCTATTTAGAAAGGTAATGAATGTCTGACTAGAGCATCTGAGATGCTAAGCATCAATCGTTGAAGGCCCTTAGTGAAATAGCTTATGTTATGATCTCAACACAGTAAACCAATCTTTGCGTCCTACTGTTTAGCTGACAAAAACTTTCTTAAGTAATGTACAGTCACAAAATGTTCCAACGATAGTAAAAAGATAGTTATTTTCAATAAAATATGAGGTACTATTTGACGATGATAAATATCAAATAGTCGAAATTACCGCTTCAATGCCGTTAGACAGCTATACAGATCCAATTCTTTCCTGAGTACAGAACAAGTACTGTACAACAAAATTTATTTAGTCAAAATCAACTGTAAGAGGTACTTTAGAATGAATTAAAATATTCTCAACGAGATAGGTTGTGCAAGAATCTGTCAGCAAAAATCATCCACCAATGAATTTCAGCAGACAGTCCAAGGTCAGAATGATCTTGATTCACTCAAACAAAATCGTAGTCGTAAAACAACACACAATATCAATATCATCATACAGCCACAAATAAAAACATTGGAACTAGAGACTAAACAGGTAGCAACATAGATAATAAAACAATTAGTTCCCCTTTATGAATTTAGATAAAGCAATAAAAAGACGTAATTTGTCAGAATCGTGTAATGTATTTGCGCACAACACATTTCGAACAATCTGATCACACACCAACTTGTCATAGGAATATACGTATGAAATTAATAAAGAGTTAAGAGATGAGAAAATAGTTCTAGGTTAAGATGAAAGGACATAGTGAAGGTCAAAATAACAATGAAGATCACTAAACCAAATAAGAGAGGTAATAGTACATCTACTTTGGCTGGTATCAAAACGAATTTTACCAGATAAAGTTTAATGTGATGGCCGTGTTTTTGACCACATAAACGTGGTTTACACTAGCGAATTGCTAGAGCTTCCACAACCTTTAGGATACACCCAAAACACATTTTATAGATAGGTTTAAAAGAGGTGTAGACATCACTTTTATGTCCTGTCTCTATGATATGTTTCGCAATGGAGAAGCTAGGTCTCCTGGTCTCAGCATTAATGGGTTCTGAAGGTTCTATCTGCTTCTAAAGCCATTTGGGAATATGCTATGAAGCTCTTACTTGCAGAGATCGACGAGTCCTCCCAATGTCTATGTGCCCACACGTACATTCGAATTGTTAGATACAGTGGGATGTGACATCATTTTTCGCACGTTCAAAGAGCCTATATGTATATTGGCTTTACATTCTCAATTATTATAATATTAGCCGTATAAAAAGTCTTTCTAACGGCAGCGTTCAAACTTTATCTAGTTATCAAGCTGTTCTGATGCCCCATATAGGGTAGCTTGATGTACAGGTCTTTCTTAGGGGCGAGTTGGAGAGTGGGTCTTGCTATTCTGACTACTTTATATCTCCTGATGAACTTGTCTGGTTAATTGTTATCAACCAGAATTTGTGTCAAATTTATTTCTTCTTCATCAAGTGTGTCTTCAGTGTATATTCTTTGGATTCTACTGAAGACGTACTTTACTAAGGCTCTTTCCTTGGTAAACTTTGTTTTGTTTTGATACCAGCCAAAGTAGATGTACTATTACCTCTCTTATTTGGTTTAGTGATCTTCACTGTTATTTTGACCTTCAAAATGTCCGTTTAACTTGATTTAAGTCTATTTTCTCATCTCTTAAGTTTTTATTAATTTCATACGTATATTCCTATGACAAGTCCGTGTATGATGAGACTATTCGAAATGTATTGAACAAATACATTACACACGATTCTGACAAATTACGTCTTCTTATTGCTTTGTCTTAAGATAATAAAGATTAAGTTAACAGATGTTGTGTTGATATACACTGTAGGAGGAAAAACGATCGTTTATTACAAAGTTGATTGGAATGTCTAAATAATTAGCAGGTATTGTAAATAGGTCGTTTAGCAGAGATTTTTCAAACAATTATTCCTTTACAATCATTGTTTCTTTAGCTGACGTGTATTGCTAGAACAGCATTTTTATTCAAAGGAATTGAGCACGTGTTAACTTTAATTATCAGACGTAATTTTGTCTGATAGATTGATGATGATGATGATGATGATCATGTTAACTGAATTGTAAATTAATTCTAAATTTTACAGTCACCTGATTATTTGTTTATATAATCACACCTTATTTGAATGAAAGTTAAATATATTTTGCTTAAAGCTAACTGTATTGACGAATAAGATGATTAAGCAGCCAAAGTGTGACAGTTAAGGAAGCTGGCTTAGTAAAATTTAAAAAAATAATAAAAACAAGTGATTCAGCGAACAGACTGCTTTTACAACGAATTTATTATGAAGCTATTATTATTCGCTTTTGGTTCCGAATGAAATAAAAGGGCTTCAACAATACATCTATTTTCTGCTGTCCTCTTCACCTGGGTCCATGATTGATCGTAATCTTTCATCTGCTCCTCACCACAGAATCTCCTCCAAGTCACTTTCGCACCGCTTCCCATTGGAATTCCACTCGAGCGATGGCCTGCATTGAGCGTGATGTCATTCAATGGCGTTCTCAACGTATGCCCTATCCATCTCCATCTGGCCTAGTTGACTAGCTCGCTAGCTTTTAGACTGTCCCAAGCCCAAATAAAGAGGGAGCGTTGGGCATGGGGCTGGCGACCCTACACCAAAAACCAATCAAACTGCTACTGAAACTTCAGTGCATAATAAAAATATTAAATATACAAAAAATATTTAAAAAAACTAAACTTATTCTTCGTTGTAATCGGACAGGCGAAATGACTCAGCGGGCTGGTGAAAGCCTTCGGTAAGCCAGTCAGCTAGCCGATGTGTCTTCAATCGATGAAAGCAAAAATAAACCTAGGGATGTGGAATGTTCGTACAATGTACAAAGCTGAGGAGGCTGCTCAAGTAGCCAAAGAAGTGAGAAGATATGGTATAGTAGTGCTGGGAATCTTCGAGAGCAGATGGAATGGATGTGGACTGTCGAAATTGTCAACTGGAGCGTTAGTAATCTACTTCGGTCTGATCGCCCAGACGGCGAACACGAGCACACTGAGGTAGTGAGTGGTTGTCATGATGTTACCAGTGGCAGCGAAAGGTTTAATGCAGTGGGAACCAGTTTCATCCAGGATCATGACAGCAAGATTATCAAGCTGTACATTCGTATAATTAAACATCTTGTGATTGACATTAGTCATCTTATCTCTGTAAACCTATAAGACGAAAAATGACCTGCCAAAATCACTTCATATCTGACTCATCTGTATTACTGAAGCTTTAACCATTGAAATAGAAAAGCTTGAACTCTGCATACAGAAAAAGTTTGTTCAAACAATTCTTCTCTCATGGTTTTAGTCCGTCTATATTGAGTTATTATTATTATTATTCAACGATGCACACACAAATACTGAATTTACTATGGAACATAAAAATGATGTAATGTTTCATTTCCGTGACATTGTCATGCAACACCTGAAAGATGGTAGTCTCCAGAGATCAACTTACCGAAAGCCAATATGGAATGGATAATATTTACATTTTAATAGTTTTTGTTAAAAGCGCAGTAGTCAAAACTCTGTTTTATAGAGTCATGAGAATGTGCTGTGCAGATAAATTAGAGGAAGAACTTATGATTTTCGAAAAATAGGTGTTAAAAAAATAGCAGTTACTCTCAGAGATCTAATAACAAGTACGAAAGATGTGAAAACTCACATGCCAGACAAATCACAATCAGGAAAAAGCCTATCTTCATTCAACTCTATTTTAAAGATAGCAGTATTACAGGAATAGTCAAGAGAAGAGTGAATACGTTACTAGCAAGAATTCAGCCTGCAACTAAGTTGGTTCCCGTTTATCAGAAAACATACTCTTTGGTCCAATAAAAACTCGACAGATATCCTTCTCATGTTAACTCTAATTGCGTATAAAAATTTACATGTATCTATGGGAGCAGTTACACTGGGAGAACAGAAAGAAGGGCACACGTCTGATCTTCTAAACATGCCCTAGTAACTGGATGTCTTTATTCTCTCTTTCATTTTATTATGTAATCTTTGGCTTTAACATTTCTCTTTGATATAGTTAACTTTGCTTGCCTCTTGTTTCCACGATTTGAGTTGAACTCACTATATTGTTAGTCAACTTATTAGTTACTCATTATCTTACTCACCTCTCGTCTTTATTACGTAATTCCTTCACCGTTGTATGCATACATCGATTTTTGTTTAAACTTGAACTGAGTACTGTTTACTAAGCCACCTGTCAATTGACATCATGCGACATTTGCAAGCATGTTAAAATTATTCTATACATACACTTAATAATAATTTATTTAGACTGTACTCAGTCAATCAGAAGCCAACGAAATAAATGATGCTATCATCTTATTCTGCACAAACTGTTATTCTTGCTTTATTCAAACACGTTATTATTATTACATATGGGGATATGTACGTTTCCCCTTTTTTTCGTTTTGTTTAATTCATCTGAATATTTTTTTTTCCTTTACATTCCCAGTGGAACATAGGGTGGCTTCAAGCTAGAGGCTTGAAGTTTCTGTAGCAGTGGTGTTTATTATTTTTACGGGATGGGGTTGCTAGCCTTATGTCCAACCTTCCCTCTTTACCAGCCTTATTACTGGCTTGGCGAGATGAAGGAGTGCGTCAGCCAGGGATCGAACCCTGCAACACATGTGTGGTTGACGAGCATGCTACCACTGTGCCACTGACGCACAATCTGTATATTTACCATTTGTTATCTCACTTGGTCTTATTACTTTCATTTTGAACAATTTCTTGTATTATCACACTTGTCACTCTTTATATTTATTTAATTCAGTAGGTTATTTTGCAATGTTATTGTCTGATGCTATTAGATAGTTGGAGGCAATCGGAAGGAAGCCTTGAACCTAGGTTTCGTGCTAGTTAACACTCATCAGCAAGGCGTATCTGCAACCCTGCAGGAATTCATGTCCCTTCTGAGATTCGAACCAGCGTCATCCAGTGCTGCAGTCAGAGACGTTACCACTGAGCTATTCGGACTCGCGATTGACCTCCTGTAGAACTGTAGTGGATATTTTGATTGGACACTAGTAACTAGTGTGACGTGTCTAGTCCTTTTCTTTGGTGCAGACTGAATTCTATCAGTCAGGTCTTGCAATGTGGCCACCATTCTAGGTAGCTAGTTCTAAACTTGTTATGTAGTGCTGTCTACCAGTCGCGTTAATTTAACGCCTGTGAACTATTACATTGTTTGAATTCAGTCTTAATTTTCCCATGGATTGATTGGACCACAGTCTTCGACCTCAGTTGACATGTTGGCTGCAAGTATGGACGCGTTGATAATATTTGATGATTAGCTTGAAGCGGCGTAAGTGAACCAGTGGATAACGCTTTGGTGATCGAAGCGATAGGGACTGGTGTAGTGACCATAACCGATTCATTGTGGTCTGAACACAGATAACCAATTCTTGCGTCTTACCGTATAGTTGCCCAAAATTTCCTTGAGAAATATACAGTCACGAAAGGCTCCAAAGGCAGCAGAAAGACGATTGTTTGTAGTGTTTGGTATCTGTGTGTGGTTCTACTGAACAATAATACCAATCAAAACTCAAGACAGTGCCGTTAGCAGCCTTAAAGGGTATTGTAGGTTTCTAATCGTAAAACGGTTACTATAGAACAAAATTAGTCAGCCGAAATTCAACTGTAGGAAGTAGTACTTTAGGATGAAGTAGGATATTCCTATCAAGGTGGGATCAAAATCTCTGTCAACAAGAATCACACACCATTCAATTTCCGCGGACAGTCAAAGGTCGGAATGACCTAGATTCACTCAAACAATATTACAATCGTAAAACAACACACATCAACAATATAATCACACAACCACAAAAAGGAGAAGCATTCAAATTTTGAGATTAAACAGGAACAAAGGCGAATAATAAGGATCAAATCAATAAATGATGTGCTAATGTCAAATTAATAATATCTACTCTAGAAGAAAAACGGATAATAATTACGAGGTAATTGAAACACCCAATGAAATATTAGAATTGTGATTAGATCGTTCGGGAGGGATTCTCCAAACTATTCTTCTATTACAACTTGGTTTGAATCTCAGTGGTGTAACACCATCACTCACTCACTAGGGAAATGCAGGTACATCCATCTGACGAGTCTCACATATAATGAAACGCACACTCTGAATTCCACTGCTAGTCACCATTCACCGAATTAACTATGAATTGATTTGCAAATCACATTGTAACGACAGAAGACAAGGGCCAGACAACAGATCGTTTATTGAGAAAATCAACAGATATTTATAGATTTTTATGTACATTATTATTCGTTATTGTTGGCAGAGAGGCAACGGCTTCTGATTGGTTGTTTTCCTGCTGAAGGTTATTCTGTCATCTCTTTGTGGCCGTTTCTTAGACATAGTCCGTTGATATATCTGCTAACCGTATCCGCCCACACTGAGTCTGCTGTGATTGGTTGTTGAGTTCCTCAAGGTTAGTCTTTGTTCTTGTTTTTTTCTCATGACCAAGATTTGGGACGTAAACATTGACGTAAATTGGTGTCTACCAATTTTGGCTAGCGAACAGCTCTCACCACAACAAAACGCATTTTATCGATTACTTGTTTACCTACGATTATATTCAGAAGTATTCTATCACAATTCATGTCATTATTTCAAGTACAGTCTCTTCACTGAATCACTTGTTCTCATTTTCTACATATCCTAACGGTAATTTTCCATGAATTAAAATAGAAAAAGCAAGTTAGCTGATAAAAATGATTGGTACAGGCGGGGAGGGGGTGTGGAGAGGCAAAAGGATGCTGATTGATATACCATTGTGGATCAGTGATCATACTTTTCTTTTCTTCAATAATCGATGAAATAGTTTAATAGATTAACAAATCTTTTCTTTCTTCTTTGGATTTTTGTTTTTACACACTTAGGTGAAAAAGCTTATGGAGGAGGCTGTGATTCGTAGTTATGTACATGAAGATAGTGAAACAGTCACAAAATTCTGTTGTAAGTTAATTACTTACTTGTTGTTATAAATATTTTATTCTCTGCTTTGTTTCTCTTATTTTAAACAATTCATAGAGAAGCAAAAAATAAAAATAAAGCAAGGACAAGAGATTGTATACTATTATTGTCTCCTTGGGCTCCGAGGGGGAACATAGCTCTTCAACAGCACATCTCCACTTTGATCTGTTCTATGTGGTCCTGTTTAGCTGATCCCGAAACTCCCCATAGTCTCGTATCTCCTCCATGTCACCCTCGCACCTCAGCCCTATTCGTCGTTTCCCGTCCGGGTTCCACTTGAGTGCAGGCCTGCATTGCTCGCTATCTCATTCAACGATCTCCTCAGTGTGTATCCGATCTATCTCAATTTTCTTCGGCCTATATGTTGAGCAATAGGTTCTTGATTGAATCGTTTCACTTCAGAGTTTCTTAGTGCTAATTCTTTCTGGCCATCTGATATTCAAATATAGAGAGAAGTGGGTAGCTGTTGACAAAAGTCTGCAGTAGCCTGTGTGGAAATGCTTTTTGTGATACGCTTGCCAAGTTTCTGATCCATATAGATCCGAGATTTGTTCTTTTTGCTGAGTGTATAAAATTCCCAAACTGATTTTAGAGTGATGAAGGTTTGTCTTGCCTTTCCGATTCTGTTTCTGACATCCTCAACCGTGCTGCCGTCTGCAGTTTAGAAGATGCTTCTTAGATAAGTGAAGGGAGTGATTATTAATTCATATATATATATATATATATATATATATATATAATGTAGGGGAGTGACGAAATGTTATAGAGTAATTAGATAAGTTTATTTGCCTTATGGGTAAAATTTATTTCGATAAAGTCTCACAGTGTTATACAGTAATATTTACTGATGACGTTTCGAGCACAATTTATTGCTACTTATAATCATCATATCAATTTACTCACATGACTTGAAAACGTGTATCACGTACTCTTACTCATTCCTAAGTTTTTTTACGTCAATTTATCATATATCAGAGATAGGCGTTTCATTATTTCGATTGCACATGCCTGGTGTCAGTTCGATAAACAAGAATTCCGTGATTAACTCCTCTCTCTCTCTCTCATAACATAACTATAAAAGGATTTCATCATAAACTGACATTGGTTAGAGGACCATTGGAAAACCAGCAGATCCCAGTTTGAGACCCTTCATCAGTATGCAACCACCACAGGGTTCGAACCCACGACCTTCTGGTTACAAGGTGAGCTCATAGACCACTCAAATACCAAGACCTGTTCCAATGGTCCGTGAATTCCGACATCTGCCAATTCACGAAATGGCGAGACCACTAGCGGATGTCATCGCTGGTGGTGAGTATTTGTCCTTACACCCAACCTGTTGTACCCTACTGGTTCTGACTTCCTACTAGAACATAGAAGGTAACTACCTGCCTCATTATCAAAACCATTTAACGTTTTAATACGTTTACTCTATCCCATCCTATTGTGTAATAACATGTGAGTGAATGCATTGGAATGGCCTAGCTTATTTCTAGATTATTTAATTTATCATGACCAATCATTGTAGCTCTAGTTGAACATTGGTATCACAAAATCTTCGTTAATAAAAGCAACACCAAAAATTTACAACCTAAATAATGCATCATATCATGTAAAATTGCCAAAAACTTACGGAGTGGGGGATGATAAAAGTATATAAAACAATTTGTCAAGTTGTGCAAATTCACTGATATGGTTATGAACGATAAATTGTTGTTCTTGAAACATATCATTCAATTATTAATACTGTATCACTTATTGGGTGTTGTATGAAATTAAACTATCTAATATGGAATTATCCCCCACCAAATTCTACCCTCATTTTAATGTTATATAGCAAACAGGGAAGGGGAAGTTATCCAAGGGCGAACTGAATTGAAATTTCGACGTAGAATTTTCTAAAAACTTTGCGTTAGCAGTTGAATTAACCTATACTTTACAGAGACCAATATAAGGGTAGACAAACAAACGCAAGGAATTCATAATACCCGAAAGGCTGTTGAGTTGAACTGGAGTTTGAAACAACACTTTGTACATGGGTCCGAGGTCAACTGGAAGGAGATCGTATGAGCAGGAACAGAAAGCTTATAGGCAATCGTGGGACAAACCCAACAAGACTGTAGGGGATGTTTTCATTGGACACTAGTAACTAGTGTGATGTGTCTAGTCCTTCGTAATGTCGGTGCAGACTGAATTCTATCAGTCAGATATGCAATGTGGCCATCATTCTAGGTGACTCGTCATAATGGTGCACTGTGGATTGTTGGTATTAGATGGTTGTAGGCAATCGGCAGGAAGCAGCACTAGGTGACATGAAATGAACACTGTAGAGCATCTGTTCGACCACCGAGAAATCTAGTTGGACCTACAAAAGCTTAAAAAATCATCAGCCATAGGTCTAATTGAAATAGAGTCATACCACAAAATTGATTTTGACAACATTGAAGTAGTCGAGAAAAATTTCCAGAAATCACAAAAACAAGTCTAATATCAGAAGCATTTCATAAAATAAATGGAATCCAAATTGTCTGAATAGGAATGCTGGACCAAGATAGAATTTGGCGTCACCATGGAGTGACAAAATCAACAAGAATAGGATAAGCATTTTCATCAGGTAAACATATGCTGTTTTTTATGGTTTTATAAGCTTATCAGATCCAACAATCTACACACTGTTGTGTTATATTTACCTATTGGCCAATTTGACAACGGAAAAATGAACCCATACTGAGGAACGATGACTAAGTTGTTATACATAAGCTGAGATTTTGTAAATTCTGGTTTAATTATATTTTGATAAAGCTATTGGCATTGAATAGCGAAACGTCAGTAAAAACAGTAATTCATGAAAAATTCCCATTCGAACATTAATAGACAGAAGATCAGTAAGTAGTTCAGCGAAGAGTCTCTTTTCGGCGAATTCACTTTCATAGCTGTACAATCGCAAATATATATGGTTGTTTTGTATGTGAGTGTACATTAAATTTGTCAAACGAAATTAGAAGTAGTAAGTTCAGATGAATTGGATGTTAATATAGGAGGGTAGTAACAGAAGTGATGAGTTGTCACAACCGATTGTTAAAGAAGAGTTACGTAATAACACGAGCAGTTTGAGGAAAGAGTTGTGCTCAGGGTGTACACGGAAACGAAATATATATGGAATTACACAAGGGTTTTAAGTAGAAAAATAAGCATACAAACAAAAGTTAAGTCAAATCAACACAGTAGTTACCATGGCAGTAGAAGTGGTTGAATAATTTTCTTTTGTATGCACAGTTCTGGCTCGTTTCGCCTTTTTCATTCATTGGGAAACACAAAAACGTTTATCATAATAGATAAAAAGACTGTTTTTTTTTACTGGGATAATTAAGCGAATATTGGTTACAGGATTTCATCAGTAGCTGTCATCGGTTAGGGAAGCATTGGAAAACCTGCAGGGAGCACTGGACAGCTGTTTCGTCCTTGTTTGGGACTCTTCACAGTACGCACCCACCACAAATGGCGTTCGAACCCAGGATCTTCTGGTTACAAGGCGAGCTCGTAGAACATTAACCCATTGGGACCCGATCCAGTGGCCAGCCCATGAATTCTAACTTCTACCAATTCATGATTCTAGCGCCGGCGAGTATTTGTCCTCATACCCGATCTGCTGTACCCTACTGGTGACGAATGTTCTTGAAAATAAAGAAAAAGAGAGAGGGAGTTTGAATTTTTAAACAGAGACAGTTGAGCTAGAAAGAGTATGTCAGTAAATTATATTAAAAAACTACGAAATTGATTTATAAAATATCAAAACAATATACGGTAAGGGGGAGTGACGTACAGATGCAAAAAAGGAATCAAACAAACAAACAAAATTATCTAAATACAGTCGAAGATGCAGAAGAATAATCTCCATGACATCATAAAACTGTATTTTAAAACTTTGTTTTGTTAGTTATCAATATTATTTATAGAAACCTCAGACAATGAGAGTCTAAATTTTGCATAGAATATGAAGAACAACTTAAGGCACACATACACACACACATGTATATACACAGAGTTAAAAGAAACTCTGAAATCTGATTCTATTTTTAAAGTAAGAATGCTAACTAATTAATTACCTACATGATTCATTCATGTGTCAATTAGATTGATCACAATTTTGAATTGATTCATTGACTGACTGATTGACTGACTCATCGATTGAATTCAATGTAATAATTTGCATTCAAGTGTAGTAATGTTAACTGACACCTCTTTGTCAAGTACACAGAAAGTGGAGAGGATAAAAAACAACAATATGCAAAGGAAGTATAATTGACGGAAATGTGCCTTGAGAACGAATAATTCTAATAAGAAGTCGTGATCAGTGAGCTCCACCCGGTAGGGAGTGTGGACAAATACTCGGCAGTGATGAGATTGGCTGGTACCAGTCATGCTAAAATCATGAATTGGTTGAAGTTGGAATTCATAGGTTGGTCATTGAGTAAGGTCCCAGTAGCTAATTGTCGATGCGCTCACCTTGTAACCAGATGGTCCTGGGTTCGAACCCCTGTGGTGGGTGCGTATTGTCAATGGGCCTCAAACTGGGACGAAACAGCTGTTGTCCACTACTCCGAGTTGGTTTCCAGTGGTTCTCTAACTGATATTAATCCATGGTCAGTCTTGAAGCAGTCCCGAATGAGATTGATGAGAAAATATAGTTAACCTGGAATATCACAGGGAGTGTATATATTTGTGTCACTGCAAATAATTTTAACCCATATCACCAAAATTTTCCAGTCATTTGAATGTTACGAAGGCGATACCCAGACGATTTATACCACCTTATGTGGCTCAGACCCACAGTAAAAGACTTCACGACTTCAAGGTTTTTCCAAACCCAACCGTTTGTCAGCTAACGTTGTCTGACAAAGACGGCGATGTGCAACACATTTCGCAGTCATCCCAATAGATGCAGCTTCACAACCATTGTCCGTTTCTTCTCCTTCTTAGAT